CCCCTCTGTATACTATGTATCTCTCTGTGTTTTGTCTCCTCTGGCGCCCCCTGCAGTCCTTTAACTCGTACTTCAGCAATGAGCACAGCCGGCTGCTGTCCCTCTGGAGGCAGGTTGTTGGGTTCCGCAGACACTTCAGTGAGATGAAAACGATGACGGAGAGGTGAGTGACGCTGCGTACGATTGTAAGCTTCGTGGGTCAGTCCCCCGAAGATTTGGTGCCGGGGCCTCCTGTGACTCCCGCGCTCTCTCTGTACAGGGACCTGTCGCTGATGCAGAAGGAACTGTCGACAAACTGCGGCAAATGATCCAGCTACAGGCCGCGTATGACGCCGAGAAGGCGGAGCTCAGCGCCAGGTCAGTGACTCGGGGCGCAGAAATCCGGCCCGCTCCGTGCCCGGGGACCCCCCGTGTGTGACTCTGGTCTGGTTTTTGTCCTGCAGGGCGGCAGAACTGAGCAAGACTATTGAACGTCTGCAGAGCGACGGCAAAGAGAAAGACCTTCAGATCAAACTGCTACAGGACAAGGTACGGGGCAAAATGGCCGCACTGCCGCTCAGGGGCCTAAATCTGATCAGCAGACATTGTCCTCATACCAGAGTCATGCGTGTTCTTCCTGATCTGTGCAGTGATCCCGTGTGAGAGCTTCCTGTAATAAAGACCGCTCACTGCAGCTCTCTCTCCTTGTGCAGGGTGACTGGTCTTGTCTCCGCCCCCTCCTGTAATAAAGACCGCTCACTGCTGCTCTCTCCTTGTGCAGGATGACTGGTCTTGTCTCCGCCCCCTCCTGTAATAAAGACCGGTCACTGCTGCTCTCTCCTTGTACAGGGTGACTGGTCTTGTCTCCGCCCCCTCCTGTAATAAAGACCGCTCACTGCTGCTCTCTCCTTGTGCAGGATGACTGGTCTTGTCTCCGCCCCCTCCTGTAATAAAGACCGCTCACTGCTGCTCTCTCCTTGTGCAGGATGACTGGTCTTGTCTCCGCCCCCTCCTGTAATAAAGACCGCTCACTGCTGTTCTCTCTTCTTGTGCAGGGTGACTGGTCTTGTCTCCGCCCCCTCCTGTAATAAAGACCGCTCACTGCTCCTCCCTCTCATTGTGCAGGGTGACTGGTCTTGTCTCCGCCCCCTCCTGTAATAAAGACCGCTCACTGCTCCTCCCTCTCATTGTGCAGGGTGACTGGTCTTGTCTCCGCCCCCTCCTGTAATAAAGACCGCTCACTGCTCCTCCCTCTCATTGTGCAGGGTGACTGGTCTTGTCTCCACCCCCTCCTGTAATAAAGACCGCTCACTGCTCCTCCCTCTCATTGTGCAGGGTGACTGGTCTTGTCTCCGCCCCCTCCTGTAATAAAGACCGCTCACTGCTCCTCCCTCTCATTGTGCAGGGTGACTGGTCTTGTCTCCACCCAGACAGTTATTTGGAGCGCTGTGTATGGGTACATTTACCTGCGTTGCTGGGAGGCGTGGAGGGGCATTAGAGTGTAAGCTCTGCGTCAGTGAGGTGCGAGGCTCCTCCTCCTCTCATCATCATCATGTTTATGGACTTTGAGACGTCTGGTTTGTCATTGCAGGAGAAGAGTCAGATGGAGGAGCATACCACACTGATCGGGGAGGAGATGGAAGTGCTGAAGACTGAGAGAGAGATACTACAGGAGACCCTCCGAGAACTCACCCAGGTCTGACCCCCCCCCCACAGCT